CGCGCCCCGCCCCGACTCTGCCTCGCCCGGCCCCGCCACTAGGCCCCCGGCCCGGAGCCACCCCCGGCGTGCAGCCACGTCACACGGGACAATCCGGAACCAGACGTGCCCGGCTCCGAGGGGCTAGACGGAGCGGCGGCGGGGGGGCGCTTCCGCTTCTTAGTCATGGGGGACCCGCGCGGTCAGTGCACTTCCGCTCGGGCCGGATTACGGGGCTGTGGAGAGGGTAGGACGGAAGTGGGTAGACCCGCGGGCACCGCTTTTAGTCAAGCTTAGGTAGATGAGGGCAGCAGCCACGCGGGGACCGCGACCAACGGGGCGGCGGGGCTTGAGAGTGGCCGCTGCCTGCCTTCTGGGAATGCAGTCCCAGCAGTGGCCACACGAGGCCGCGCGTGGCCGCCACACCGCTCCGTCCCGGGATAGCAGCCAGCGGGCCTGGCTCCTCCATGAGCTAGGGAAAGGGGAAGTGCCTGCCACAAGAAGGGGCCTGGCCCCGGTACCTCAGAAGAGGGAATTTTATTCTTACTCATCGAATTATTTTTATGCTTTGGTTTTTCACTTGGAACCTCAGGCCACTGTCTCCAGGACAGTAACCCTTTGAGGTCCAATACATGTTTCCAGACCCTGTGCCCTGGAATTCCAAACCTGGCACAAAGGGCTTTGTGTTCTCTTAACCCTACACAAGCTGGGCCTGAACTCTACTGGAGCAAATAATGACAATAATTACTGTAGTTCTCTGATTTAGTGTAGCTTTTTATTGAGCACCCACTATGTACCACTTAGTAATTAGGGTTATCTCACCAATTCCTCGGTTTTTTTTTTTTTTTGAAAGAATAGGGTTTTGGAACCTGTCCTGGAACTAGCTTTTTTTTTTTTTTTTTGGTCTTTTTGAGACAAGGTTTCTCTGTAGCTTTGGTGCCTGTCCTGGCCTCGAACTCAGAGATCCCCCTGCCTCTGCCTCCCGAGTGTTGGGATTAAAGGCGTGCACCACCCACCGCCTGGCAGTTCCTTATTTTTATTAGATGTGTACTGACTGTTGTGTCGGTTTATGGCAGTCACACAAATGGCAGAGCCAGAATTCAACTTGGATGTACCTAGGGCCTGTGATAGCCACCTCATTTCTAAGCCTGAACACAGTACAAATGTGGCCTAAAATCTCCTTTGCGTCCTTTTCTAGGAATCAGCCAGCAACCGGTGCAGAAGAACATTTGTGACAGAGTGAGGGTCTCTGGTTTCATTAGCCTTCACCTCCTCTGGCAGCTCTCTAAATCTGTAGCTGGTCACTTTTTCTTTCTGGGTGCTCTGAGGAGACTGAACTCACAATGCAGCTGATGCCTCACCTACTTCAGTGTGTGTGTTGCATATATATTTCTTCATTGTTTATTGGTTTAATGTATTTTATTTTGAGACTGGTACTCTCTGTGTAGCCCTGGCTTTTCCTGGAACTAGATGAAGCTGGCCTTGAACTCACAGGATCTGCCTACCTCTGCCTTTTCAGTGCTGGGATTAAAGACTTGTGCCACACTCCTGGTTTATTTATTGATACGTTGTGATATAAGGTCCTTGAACTTGACATGTAGCAGAGGATGACTAGAGTGTCTGGACCTCCTGATTGCAGGCGTGCACTCCTACACCTGACTGATGCATTGCCGGACCAAGCATTCTATCAGATACACCCCCAACACTTATACTCTTTTCCCCACCAAAACAGGGTTCTCTGTGTAACGCTGCTGTCTAGAACTCATTTGGTAGATCAAGCTGGCCCTGAACTCAGAAATCCGCCTGCCTCAGCCTCCCGAGTGCTGGGATTAAGAGGGTACCACAGCAGGCCTACGCCGCCACTCCCAGCTGATATACTCTTTAACATTTGTGCTTTCTAGGCTACGAGCTCCTTTCAAAAGCTTCCTGTCTGGCTTTCCTCACCAGATCCATACGACTCCCAGGATGTGCTTCTGGGCCCTTATGAAAGTTCTGAAACAGAATGCCCAATCAGATTCTTTGCCACAAGGAGAAGATGTTTAGCGAAGACCACACTTGGATTTTAAAGATGTCTTCCTCCCTGTATGCAAATCATGCCATCTTATGCAAAGCACCTCACAATATTCAAATGATTTCACAATAACACTGTCAGCCTTCCTGTCTCTAGAAGTCAAGGGGCTCCTGGCCACCCAGGATGGGCACTAGCAAGACCCAGCTAGAAATACCACTTGCTGTGTGCTCTCTTCCCCGCTCTCTGGAATGTCCACCAATAGAACCTCATGAAATTAAAGAAGCAAGCACGTGGAGCTGGAGCCAGAACCATGAGCAGGGTGGTCAGGTGGTCAGGTGAGAAGATCCATTGTTGGAAACACTGGCTTTGATACAGAAATTTAAAAAGTTGATCTTGGGTGGGTGGAGAGATGACTCAGAACTGGCTGTTCTTCCAGAGGACCTGAGTTCAGTTTCCAAAGATGAAGCTGAGTCAATTCAGATGTTGGCTCACACCCCATTGTACCTCTAGCTCCAGGTGATTGGGTGCCCTTGTCTGATCTCCATGTGCTCTTCATACTTGTGGTGCACATACATGCACTCAGGCACAGGGCCAGCCTGATCTACATAATGGGTTCTAGGCAAGCTAAGGCTGTATTATGAAATTCTGTCTCCAGTTTTTCAAGACAGTCTCACTGTGTAGCTCTGGCTGGTCTGGAACTCACCGTGTAGATTGAGCTTTCCTTAAACTCAGAGTCTTGCCTGCCTCTGCCTCTCCAGTGCTGGAATTAAACTCCCAGTTTAATTTTTTTTTTAAATTCTTCTCTCATGGGCTGGAGAGATGGCTCAGTGGTTAAGAGCATTGCCTGCCCTTCCGAAGGTCCTGAGTTCAATTCCCAGCAACCACGTGGTGGCTCACAACCATCTGTAATGAGGTTTAGTGCCCTCTTCTGGCCTTCAGGCATACACTCAGAAAGAATATTGTATACATAATAAATAAATATTTTAAAAAAATTCTTCTCTCATATATTACATCCCAAATATAGTTCCCCTCCTTCCTCTCCTCTCAGTCCCTTCCCGCCACCTTCCGTTCCTCCATTTAAATGTGTAGATATATACACATATATGTATATACACTATATATATGCATATCTATATATTTTGTTTTTGTTTTTTTTTCAAGACAGGGTTTCTCTGTAGCTTTGGAGACTGTCCTGGAACTAACTCTTGTAGACCAGGCTGGCCTTGAACTCACAGAGATCCTCCTGCCTCTGCC